GGGTGGGCCGATCATACTCGGGGGGTGATGAAGGAGGCAAGGGTGGATTTGCGCGGTTTCGACATAAAGACGCGTTCGATACACTCAGGATACTGGCGGGCATGGACGTAGGTTGAAATCAACACGGCTGTCAAGCTCGCGTACACATGTGCTCGCGTCGTGGTGAAGAGCCTCTGAAGTGACATGCCTAGTTCCCCACAGTTCAGTGCTGCGAGCACAAAAACTCATTTGCACAAGTCTTAGGCGCAGAATTTCTGACGGGCGGACTCACGATTCTTGGGTGTAGAGAATATGGTCAGATTCTCGGATGCGGAGTATCTTGAGACTTGTATGACATGGTCAGACAAAAACCAACGCTCAACGATCAGATTCTCGAATGACCGAAATCGCGCCCGCGTGATGTTCAATATCTCCCAGATACTGTCACCACAGTCTCATCCGTGCAGCTGTGTATGAGAGCATGCTAGCGGGAGTTTCAAACGTCGGGAAGCGTTGGAAAGTGTCTCTGGTAATTATGGGTGCATGCATATGTTTGATCGTGCTCTATTTGGCGCATCGATTAAACAGGTCGCAGACACCGAAACATGTTACTGACCATCGGAGAAGATGAAACGTACAATCCTCCCCTATACAAACGGAGAGTTTGGTTCGCCGGGTGGATTCGCTCCTTTATAAGAGCTACAGCAGATGCAAGCACTCCCGCACGACGAAGATTATAGTACCCTCGAGATTGTAAGTGACATACGTGCCTTGGCGTGTGTCGTTAACGAACACAACGTTGCAGTAACGGCCATGACAGAGAACACCTCGCCATATGCCCTTGGTCAAACAGACAGCATTGTCGAGCAGTTCAGTAAACGAACTGTCAATAACTCGGCTGCGTATCTCAAAGGTTCGCTCGAGTCACATATGAAGATCCTAGACGTTGGCTGTGGGCCTGGCACTATCACGATAGACCTAGCGAGGCACGTACCTCTCGGGCACGTCACAGGCATCGACACGGAGTCAGCGAGCGCGACTCTAGACAAAGCTCGTGCACAGGCCGCGAACGAAGACGTACAGAACGTCGAGTTCCGCGTCGCCGATGGTCACGCGCTGCCGTATGCCGACCACACCTTCGACGTAGTGCACGCCCATCAAGTCCTGCAGCATGTCAATGATCCAGTTGGTCTCTTCACTGAGATGCGACGAGTTACGAAGCCAGGGGGCATTGTCGCTTGTCGCACATGGGATGATGGCACTATAATGGTCTACCCACACAGCGAGAGGATACTACAGACGCACGACCTATACCAGCGTGTGATGGAGGAGTGGGGTCGCAGCTTCAAAGGAGGGCGCTACATGCACGTCTGGGCGCGTAAGGCTGGCTTCAAGCCGTCTAACATCAAGGTTACGTCGAGCAACTACACGAACTACACGCCTGCGGAGCGCAGATATTGGGCGGACATGATGATCAGTGTGGCGAAGGAATCGCCGGTCAGGGCGGCGGCGCTGGAAAAGGGGTACGCAACAGCAGACGACTTCGAGGCGACGAAGGCGGCGTGGGAGGAGTGGGAGGCCAACGAGGATGGGCTGTGCGTAGGTGTCAACGAAGAAGTCTTGTGTAGGGTGTAGATCCGGTCCTCCGGACATTCTCTCGCTATCATAGATTCCCATGTCTGCGGACCTCTGCGGACGTAACATGGTACGGATCTAGAGGGAGGAGTGCTGGCGGTTGCCAGCAAGGGGATGTCACTGGCTTCCAGGAGATAGCACCGTAGTCAGTTGACTGCGTGTACGGCATCCTGCCCGCTGGGGTGGCAAGCTAGTGCCTGAATTTACATACACAAGCTTTTGGGGTTTTAGCGTGCAATTCACGACAGAAATCCGGGGTAGAGGACAGGCGCCTGTGGTGTCGGTCGCCGCCGGCGTCTACGATGCGCACCGACTCTACTCGCTGCCTTTCGGCTCATCCAAGACGACGCCACGAAGCTGCTCCCTCTGTTCTTTGCTCCACACTGCGACAGTTACCGACATGTCCCACCCTTGCCGCCTTTCCTCTACGGTTGTTGACAATGGCTACCTGGGCAATGTCGGCAACATACTCGAAGGCCGGAGAACTTCGCTTTGCTGCCGGTCATTACCTGCCTCGTTCGCGAATCGTAAATGAAATAGCCCGTGGCCGAGAAGATCTACTGCCGTCATTGCTGCCCCCCGCGTAGTATGGGAACCCCACGCGCCACTGGCAAGCAACGTGCAAATCAGGGTGTTTGGTGTTGAAATGTTCGGACCATAGCTGCTCGTCTGTGACGAAAAGCCTTATACGGCCTTACGAAGGTATGTTCTGTCTTTAAATGGTAAGTTTGTAGCCGACCCTGCGCCTGTTCAAGTATATAAACGCGCTTTGTGAGCTGGCGTCGCTGGATTCCACCCACCCACCTTTCCGCTCCTTCGTCATCATGGCTTCTTCTGCCGTCGTTACGACCTTTAACCCCACCCGCGCGTGGTGGAAGTCAGCCTGCATCTACCAGATTTACCCCATCTCGTTCTTTGACTCTAACGGTGATGGCATTGGCGACCTCCCCGGTATCCTTGCCAAGCTCGACTACCTCAAGGATCTTGGCGTCGACGTCCTCTGGCTCTGTCCCATCTACAAGAGTCCACTGGCGGACATGGGCTATGATATCGCGGACTATGAGAGCATCGACCCACGCTTCGGGACGCTGGAGGATTGGGACAGGTTGCTCGAGGGTGTGCACAAACGTGGGATGAAGCTCCTGTACGTGTCATCGAACCGTGATTCCTGGCCAGCTCATCTGAACATAGTGCAGCATGGACCTCGTCGTCAACCACACCTCCGACCAGCATGCCTGGTTCAAGGAGTCGCGCTCTAGCAAGACCAGCCCCAAACGCGACTGGTACATCTGGCGTTCTCCGCGCTACGATGCCGACGGCAACCGCATGCCGCCCAACACTGGAGTCCATCTTCTCGGGCTC